TATATATATATATATATATATATATATATATATATATATTATTTTTCATCCTCAAGCGAAAATTTAGGAATAACCAATCTTGCAATTTACGCATCTTTATAAGCATGTTCATTCGCAAAATTAATTACTATGGAAACGGCTAGAGCGACCATCTTGATAAGGGGCATAATTTGTATCCACATATCAGTCACCTTCGGAAAGAGGTCGAGCCGAGTTGGAGGTGTCTTTTTCAAAGCGAATGATGGCATTCATGTACGCACAACGTCTAGTCAGTCACAGCGAAAGATAGCTGTTGGCACCATAATACGCCATGAAGTGTCTAAAGAATTTTATTTTATTTATCTTTTTTTCCTAAAGGGCTGTTTCGTACATAAACGCGTCACACTGAACTACAATTTGTTTTTTGACGACTTCATAAAGGGTTTTCTATCTTATGGCTGGGTTAAGCTTATAAACCTTTTATTAGACTATGAATTTTTTATGCTAATTATTTAATGCAAGAATTTGTTGATGTCGGCAAAAAACTGTTAACTCATGTCTATGGTTTAATAAATTTTCATTATTTAAAAACTCAATAATGTGTAGTTTTTTCATGTAAGCATAAAGGGCAAAAATATTTGGATAGAAATCAGATATCTCTATCCCAATATTTGAAACGAATAAAACACCAAAAGTAAAATGAAAAATAATAAATGGAACAAGAACTTGTAAAACCTGGAATGACCCATGCCCTTTTTGCCTAATTAGCATAAAAAAATGAATTTATTTACCTAACGTGTTTTTTTTCTATTTTTCTACATATCTGCACACACACACACACACACACACACACACATATATATATATATATATATATATATATATATATATATATATGTATGTGTGTGTGTGAAAATGTATGTATATAAATAAATAAATATATATATATATATATATATATATATATATATATATATATATATTTATTTATATATTATATGCGCGGTACTTATTAGAAAGCGCTCAATATCAGAGATAGAGTTAACATATTTGGTTGGATTGATGTGAGTTTGTGACCTAGGTTTCACGCTTTTGCGATCGTCAGACAATCGCAAAAACGTGAAACCCAGGGTCACAAACTCAAGTCAATCCAACCAAATATATATATATATATATATATATATATATATATATATATATATATATATATATATGAATTTTTTCATTTCTTAATCCGACATATTTTATTTTACTGCTTAAACCTTTTTAGTGTATACTCATAGTCGAGTAGACGCTCAATTTATTTATTAAACAGTTGATTTATTTTCATGTACAGGTTCAATATACAAGAAAACTCATTAGAAAAATACGCGCTCGTTGACAGGATTCGAACCTGCGTTTGCCCAGGAGAAAACGTCATTAGATCTCACGTGATTTAACCTCTCGATTACAGAGAATCTAATGGCCAAACAAAGCCCGAATAATGCTTTTGAACATAGATGTTTCCCATTTGTCGAAGTATACATCTTTGCTCAGTTTTGTATCCTAACGTAAACAAAGACAAAAACACTATTCGGGCCGCAATCTACTACTTTCGTGTAACGAAACTGTTACTTTTTTTTTCTTTAAACAAATTATGACAAGCGATGAGAAGTGGATACTTTACATCAACGTGGAATGTAAGAAATCGTTGAGCAAGCGAAAGGAATCACCACTAAACATGCTAAAGTCCGACCTTCATCTAAACAATGTGATGCTGTATATATGTAGTAGAATTGGAATTGTTGAGTCTACGAATTGTTTAAGTACAACACTAAATTAAACGAAATGATATTAGAAGTAAATGAAATGGACTTGATTGTTCCACCAGGATAACATGCCACCGTTTTGTTTTGTTTTTTGAGGCCAAGCAAACATTGTTAGTTGGCCCTCAAGTTTTCATACAAAATCGTCCGATTTTATACTTTCGGATTATCATTAATTGTAGTTTTCACAGAATAGTCTCAATTGGAAAAAAAAAGAATTTTTTTTAACTTGTAGCTGAATGCACCACTAATGTTACAAATGCACACAAGTAATAAGCATAAAAACAGAATCGATGAATATTTAATATGAATACTTTTCGCCGCATTCACCTATTCAAATCTGATCAACTTTAGAAATTGCGCTTTTGTATAAAAATCAACAGTTAAACCTATTGTTTCTGGATGACATTCCAAAAAAGTATTTTCGTTATGAAACTTCCTGCTTATTAGATTAAAATGTCAAACTGTCTCGATTGTGTTCTATCGGATTACCCCACTTATCTACCAAGGAACTTTGGCTAAAAACTGCTGGATGACGTTGCCAAAAGGCTGTATAAATGAAAACGGGTCACATCCTCTTTCTTCTTTTTCTCTCCATTCCTATATTCTTATTCCCCAAAGAACCGAGTGTCGCATTGTGCGCATCACAGTATACAAACGTCCTGAGCCTATAACACTACATGTTTATAGATATTTTTATTGTTTTGTTGTATTGTTTTTAGATAGGAGACCATTTGGGAATACCATATACGATAACTTCGATGTGTGGCTGATTTACTGTATGAAGGCTCAGAATTGTGAATTAGAGAATCGAGTTCCAATTCCAGTTGGGTTCTTTATATTGTCTTACGCACAAATACCATTACGAAATGTATGAATCTAATTCTTCACACACACGCACACACACACACACACACACACACACCAGCGGTAGGTTAATTAGTAAGATTTTTATCACTAAAATCATTATTGTCTAAAAAAAGTAAAAAAATAAATTTGCGTACAAAATATTTAGATTTCCTCATTAAATAACCCATAGAGTTGTTGATATGCATGTAACTCTAACAAACTAGCAAAACTATTCTCCAATGTAAATCTCTCAACATCTTCAAGAGGGTTTTATATTCACAGAACCTACGGATAACGACATCTGTATATAAAGGTTTTTTGCATTTAACGGTTTTTATATTATTTTTATTTCATTTGCTAAGGCAATAAAATGTTGTTATTCAATGTTTAATTATTCATAAGTTTACTCACTTGCTTGAAAAATATTCAATATGTCTACTATCAAAAGAATATTCAATGTCAGCCACGAAATGCCATCACTAAATATACGCTTCAATAAACGGTGAATCGCAAAAACAAAGAGTCGACCTGAAAAAATACACTAATGATCCAGCACAGTTCATATTCAGTAATTGTCAGAGTCACAACTTAAATACAAAACTTTTCTTTTAGCCAGGTTTTGATGCATCTTGAAGAATGGCATAATAGATAGATAGATAGATAGATAGATAGATAGATAGATAGATAGATATCAAGAGAGTGGTATAGGGAAAAATTGAAAGACAGATACATACATACATAGATATGAAGATGGTGATATAGGAGTAAATTGAGTAGTGGCTCAAAGGAAGAATCTGCTCGAGTCACCAATGGAATACGGAGGGAATGAGGGTCGTTGACTACAATGTGCGCGTCATTGTAGGTCTTAGCCTTGAAGGTTAGAACTGGTGGAACGAACGAATGTAGTTCGCCTGAGCACTTTCTACTGAAATAGCGATAGAGCAGTGAGACGATTACGACATCTCGTCTGGGAGAAAGGGGTTGCAGGACGGAAAATAATTGGTCACCCACCCGGACGCGGAGATGCTTTTGGACTCTATCGTGACTGGCAAGTGAGGACTTGGCAGCCCCTACAAAAATATGACAGCAGTATTCCATTTTTGGCCTGATCTGGCTCTTTTAAAGCTAGAGGATAACATGATGAGCCAGGTACTTACTAGAGCGGTAACTGGATGCGACCGTCTTTACAGTATCTTTAGCGGTGGGTCATATCTATGAGTTCCACTTGGGGTTTGGGTTGAGTTTGAGACCCAATAGTCACTTAAGAGAGTGGACCTCTCTGCGGGGATCATCCATTCATCGTGAATTTTTGCGGATATGTGGGAACATAATAAATAAATGTGAACAAGTTAAGAGTGTAGTAATCGGGGAAGCATCCCCTTGGGAGTCGGTTCCAAAAAGCAGTGGTTCGTGGGAAGAAGCTGCTTGAAAGAAACTTACATCTCACCAATTGAATACGAAGGGAATGAAGGTGGTTCGCTACAATGGGCGTGGCATGGCGGGTCTTAGACGTGAAGTTTAGAACTGGTGGAATTAAGGAATGTAGTTTCCTTGCAAACATCGATAGAGCAGTAAGTGGCGAGCAACGTCTCATCTGTAAGAAAGGGGAGTTGTAGGCGGAAAAATAATTCGTCACCCACATGAACCCTGAGACCCTCTTGAACTATCGAAGGTGGAAAGTTAAGACCCCGCCCATATATGGCAACAGTAATCCATTTTCAGCCTGATCTAGTTCTTGTAAAGGAAGAGAATATGAGGTGGACTGAGGTACTTGTTGGAGCGGTAAAGGGAGCCGACCATTTTTACAGACTCTTTAGCGATGGATCGTATATAAAAGTTACACTTGAGGTCTTGGGTGAGTTTAAGTCCCAACAGGCGTTCAAGGCACAGTGTCTTCCCAAGAAGATATCCGTTCATCGTGATTGGTGGTAGTTTAGGGTCCGAAGGGCGATGATAGAATGTAACTAGTTTGCTTTTTGAGGCATTGAATGTGACCAGCCAACTTTCCTCACACTAAGCTAGAATGTAACTACTGTAGTCATTTAATACCAAGCACTTACTGCATTCAAGTTTTCTAGATTAATAGGTTTGAATCTAACGGCTTCTTGTCTTTCGGTAAACGTGCATTCGGCATCCCGTCCGTGCACTGTCTCACTACAATTGTTGTCAAGTGTAAAAAATAATAATTAGTCTTTGAGTAAGAATGGGTCGTGTGTGTAATTTTCACCCCTAATTAAACCGCCGCTCGCATAAAATTAGGCCATTTCTTAATTATCCAGATAGTGAAAACCATTAATTAGTCACGTGCGCTCAGCACGCAGAATTTGCTTTGATCTTGTTCCAAATATACATCCAGTTACCGAGTCCATGATTTATCTGAGCTTATGCTTTTCGCTCGGAGAATATTCTTTTATTTTGAGGATCAAAGGAAGAAGAACTGTTTTTCTTTTTACATTTCAATACGAACTTTTGTGGCTAAACTCGTTGATGAAGACGGAAATTAAAGAGCAGTTAATATGAATACTTAGCATCAATTTGTTTTAGAAACAAACATGTTAAATATATTTCAGAACAACAAAAAAAAAAAACACGCCTGAAAACACGGGAAGATGCAACATTGAAAAACCATGAAAGAAGCATTATCTATTGATAATTAGACCACACATCATTGACATTTTTTGATAATGACTTAAGAAAGCCGAATATAGTGATTTTCCAAGCGTAGCTTAGATGTGGCACAAAGCCAAAAGTAGGGGGCACCCAGTGAGGATCGAAGTCATTACACAGTCGTAATTGTCCTAGCGAGACAAGCTTGCTAACCATTACACTACCCCTAGGTGCCCCAAGAAAGCTGAATATATCAGAATACACGGAGAAGCTATTGGACAATTTATATCCAAACTTTGCCCGGAAACCAGAACAAAAAATTAAAAAAAAAAAACTAGGATTAAAAACTTTGGCCTTCAGTCAAACGAGTAAATTAAAAAATGCTGTATAACTGAACCCATATATATATATATATATATATATATATATATATATATATATATATATATATATATATATATGTGTGTGTGTGTGTGTGTGTGTGTGTGTGTGTGTGCGTGCGTGTGTGTGTGTGAATAAAAACAAGAGAAAGAACTATTCTTAGACGACGCGTTTCTGAGAGACTTTATTGAGGCAAATATAAGATTTATTCTTTTAACGTTTCCCCTCCTTGATAGTGTTTTTGTTTTTTCATATTCTTTAACACTCTTGTGTCTTAGTGGTTTTATTGCCTTACTTGGGGTGAAATGATTGAAAAAAGTGGCCATTCGAAGTCTGGAGTTTTTCTATTTTTTGTCATATTTCTTTATCCACCGCTTCACATTGAGTATTTTTCTTATCTTCGCTCTCCTCTCCTTTGTTCATTGTGGTTTAATAGATATCGGCTTGGAATAAGAATGCGGAGAACCGAGTTCGAATCTCACTTAAGTTCATACAAATACCCTTGAGAAAGGCATGAATCCATCTCTTCTCCCCCCCCCCCAGTTATGGATTTAATAGCAAGGCAGACTGAGTTCTTTACCCTTGGTTGGCAGCCAGTCTACCGCTGAAAGAAATGGCAACCTACTGCGGGAAAAAATCATTTGCCCTATTAATCATATATCGAAAGATACATGATCGCCCAAGTGTGTATCATTTAAGTAACTGATTGCATATATTATGAGAATATATACTTTTAAAATTTCCGTTTTTAAAACCTTAATAAAATTTTGTCCCCGGCTGTATATACATGTATGGTGATTTTCCAAACAGAGCTTAGATTCGATACAAGGCCGAAAGTACGGTGCACTCAGTAAGGATCGAAATCACTATTTAGTCTAAATTACGTTGAAGCGCCCATATAAGGATTGACTAAGCACAGTCTAGATGTAGCACAAGGCCAAAGGTATGGAGCACCCAATGAAGATTGAACTCACTACTCAGTCATAATTGAACAACGTTTATATAATGAGTGTCTTGGAATGCCAGGTTCATATACTTGATGGTTTTGCTTCATCCTGGAACTTCTTAATTCATTTCATCCTTTCTGTTAATGCCTAATCGAGTTGCTAATAACAATTTGGTGTCCCACTTCGATAGGAAATATATTGGTCGTCCAGTCATTTGTTTTTATACGTTATATTTGCAGATTTTCGTCTTTTATCAACTTCCGTTAATGAATCCTTTCGATATTTTCGTCAACATTTTGCATGTTTCTGTAAATTAATAAAAAAATTCCTTTGAATTTTAATTCTGCTCCGTCCAATTTTCTCCATATGAAATCATTTAACCAGAGGAATTATAATATTAATAAAAGAAAATAGATAGCTGAACAATAAAATAACATCTGGTTCGATATTAATGTATGTTATTAATTTGCCTGCCTAATATTATTATTACTAAAGATCAATAGGTTTATTCAACCTATAGAAAGACTTTAGAAATCAATCAGAAAATATCGAAACGTACTAGCGTGACTACAACTAATGTTACAATTAATGCAACACATGTCTCTTTTTATTGTGAGAGGCTAGGAAACAAATTTGCGTGGGTAAGTACAAACTTACCTACTTTCCTCAGTACACTGCCGCAAACATCACAGGTTAACCCTGATTCTGCCCCGTTAAAGCAATAGAGAGACGGGTCACTAGGAAGTAAGCATGGTTAATTGCCTAAAGGGGAGATACCGCTAATGATGAACCACCGAGATTCAGATTCGCAAACCATAATCTTGCCAATTTTGACTTCTGATAGGGTCAGTTGACTTCTGTTTCTCTCTTTCTTCTCTGTGTTTTTTTCCCTTCAGGACATTGACGATAATGAGTCTTCACAATTTTTTGGTCTTTTGTAGTTCTTAGTAATTTTTTGAAATCTCTCTCTAAGAGAAATGCGGTTCTACAGAAGGATGCTGAGAATACCACACACCGAACAAATAAGCAACGACGAAATTTTAGGTGAAACAAACACAAAAATGCCATTTATAATTAACACAAAAAAAGATAGTTAAAATTTCTATGGTACATAATGAGAAAAGAGGGTTTTGAAAATCTGACACTCACAGGACAGATGGAAGGGAAAAGAACAGAGGAAAACAACGCCTAGCCTATTTACTGAGGTTGAGTAAATGGATGACGGAACAAGGTTTACGAAAAATGTTAGTTGTAACGCTCATAAAGGAAGATTCATTGGGATTTGATTAAGGGAAGGGTCCCAAGTCCTACCCGAGGGAAAAGGAAAAAACGCCCTGTTTGCCGCAGATTTTCCACAGAGGCATTGACAGAGCGATCCGAGGCCGCCGGTTGCCGGAACAGACACCTCCTGGATTCTCACCAGATCCGTGATGCTGTACTTGCTCGGGAGGAAGCCGGTTCAACCCGACCAGGGTGAAAAACGATACAAGTCAAGTCAAAAGTCAAGTTTACGAAAAATAACAAAATGACAAAATTTATTAAGAGCTGCAAAGAGCAGGAAATGTGGAGAGCCATGATCGCCTACGCCCTGAAGCGACACAACACATAAAAGAAGGATTAGTTTGAGTAAATGGATGGCGGAACAAGGTTTACGAGAAATAACAAAAAGACTAAATTTATTAAGGGCTACGAAGGGCAAGAAATGATCGCCTATGTCCCGAAAGGATACGGCGCATACAGAAGATAAAGGATCCGTTTTCAAGAAAACATCTCTCCATTACACTTATAAAGAAGTGGAGTCCAATGTACAATCTGATATCTGCAACAAAACTCCCCACGCACAAAGAACCGAAGCATTTCATTGTTCTTTTTTTAGGGAGTGGTAGACAAAGAAGCCAATACTTCTTGACTCCTACCACATATAAATCTATCTTTCAACTTTATACGGCTACAATTCCTCCATGCATTGAATACACATTTGTTCTGGTGATTCTGTTATGTATTTAGAGATTTTTGGTATACTTCAAAGAAGAATCTGCAACGTTATCGGTCATAACCTGGCACTTCAGTTTCACTAGTTTTCTTACCGCCCATAATAAAGCTTTCCTGTGCTTTTTCTATAAACACATTTATGGTAACACTTTCTTCGATACATCGACTTTACGAATATAAGCTCTGTACTAGATTGGCAGGTAGGTCCCATCATTTTATAGTTAAAATTAAATAGATATAACCGTAAGTTCTATGCTAACAGTCTGACCACTCGCACTTCTCGCTTGTGAAACTCTTTTCCGATTTCTTGCTTTCCAGTCAACTTTGATCTTCAAAATTGTAAATGCAATGCCAATCGTTATCGTCTGTCTTCTTAATTGGTCTTTTTTTATTGTTCTCTCTCTTTAATGATGTTTTTCTTTTTCGTTCTCAGACTCTTTCACTCTGGTTAACCACGGCGTCTTAGTGGCTTTATCGTCTTGCTTGGTGGGGATTATTTAAAAAAATAAGTAGTATAACGCTATTTATCTCTATTCAATACTCTCTCTCTATATATATATATTTCTTTTTTTGTTTCAGACATACACTATCGATTTAACGCACACATACACACACATACATACGTATGCACATTCTTTCTCTCTTTCACACTTTTTCAGGTTCTTACTATCTCTCCTTTACTTCTCACGTATAAACATTCTCTGTTTCTCTATCTCTTTACATCTCTCTCTATCTCATTCTATCTCTCTCTCTCTCTCTCTTTTTCTCTCTAATTCTATCTTTATCTTTCTCTCTATGTCGCTATCTTTTTTTTTTTCAGGTACTCTCTATCGATTTCACACGAACAAACACAGTGTATCATTTACTTTCATACACACGGACTCGTTCTTTGTATTTCAGTCTGCCTCTGTATCTTTTTTATCTATCTATCTATCTATCTATCTATCTATCTATCTATCTATCTATTTCATTCTGTTTCTATCGCTCTATCTCAGTCTGTTCCTATCTATCTGTCAGTTTATTTCGTTCTTTTTCTCTATCTATCTCATTATGTTTTTATCTATCTATCTATCTATCTATCTATCTATCTATTTCATTCTGTTTCTATCGCTCTATCTCAGTCTGTTCCTATCTATCTGTCAGTTTATTTCGTTCTTTTTCTCTATCTATCTCATTATGTTTTTATCTATCTATCTATCTATCTATCTATCTATCTATCTATCTATCTATCTATTTCATTCTGTTTCTATCGCTCTATCTCAATCTGTTCCTATCTATCTGTCAGTTTATTTCGTTCTTTTTCTCTATCTATCTCATTGTGTTTTTATCTATCTATCTATCTATCTATCTATCTATCTATCTATCTATCTATCTATCTGAGTCCTTTTCGTATCTATCTATCTATCTATCTATCTATCTATCTATCTATCTATCTGAGCCCTTTTCATATCTATCTATCTATCTATCTATCTATCTATCTATCTATCTATCTATCTGAGTCCTTTTCATATCTATCTATCTATCTATCTATCTATCTATCTATCTATCTATTTCATTCTGTTTCTATCGCTCTATCTCAGTCTGTTCCTATCTATCTGTCAGTTTATTTCGTTCTTTTCTCTATCTATCTCATTGTGTTTTTATCTATCTATCTATCTATCTATCTATCTATCTATCTATCTGAGTCCTTTTCGTATCTATCTATCTATCTATCTATCTATCTATCTATCTATCTATCTATCTATCTGAGCCCTTTTCATATCTATCTATCTATCTATCTATCTATCTATCTATCTATCTATTTCATTCTGTTTCTATCGCTCTATCTCAGTCTGTTCCTATCTATCTGTCAGTTTATTTCGTTCTTTTTCTCTATCTATCTCATTGTGTTTTATCTATCTATCTATCTATCTATCTATCTATCTATCTATCTATCTATCTATCTATTTCATTCTGTTTCTATCGCTCTATCTCAGTCTGTTCCTATCTATCTGTCAGTTTATTTCGTTCTTTTTCTCTATCTATCTCATTGTGTTTTTATCTATCTATCTATCTATCTATCTATATCACCCACAGAGATGATTTTTATATCCACCCGTCATTATGCGTCGAAATTCCAAGGGAATAAATTTCCTCCGTTAAAAAGCTTTGTAATTAGCCTGAAACTGCGGGATGCAATCTTTTCTCTCCCCCTCTCTCTCTCTCTCTCTCTCTCTCTCTCTCTCTCTCTCTCTCTTTTACTGGGCCCATGACAAAATCATTAATACTACACAATACAAAAATAATGACTCATCCTTCAAGAGAGAATAACAGAATTTACCCAGCCATAATCTTTTTTCTTCCATACTAGTAATGGTACCCGATATTCTTCATTTGCCTGTCTTACTCGGTAACATTTTCGGAATTTTGAACAGAATCCATTATTTACACTATTTACATTATTCGGACTATTGTCCTCATCTTTGTCGCCATATTTAGAAATATAGACAAATACTGAATACTTTATTCAATCCGCAAAATAGATCGTTCTCATTCCGTTTTGCCATGCTTGGTTGATATTTTATGTGCAGCCCGTCTAAAGTTACTATGCAAATCACATAATACGAAGTTGTATTAGAAAACTTTTATCAAATTCTAAACGATTAATTTGGACGTCAAAACGAAGTTTGAGTTAAAATTTTAGGTAGTTTCAACATGTTTTACTAACGCTATTGAATTTATCATAAAACTGCAGTCTGAAGTTAACATACAAAACAAGAAAATAACTTTTTACTTCAGTAACAAGCTAATAAAATCAACAGTTGATCAATGCCTATAACTGAGCAAATAACAAACTCATATGATAAGTTTTTAAAGCAATTTCATCTTAATATAGAGACCCTTCTTCTCAATAACAACAATATGTTATTTATTGATTTTGTTAAATGGTTTCCATTCATCAGTTTCAGTTTCCGAGTTGGTGGTTTTAATTGCTTCCAAATGGTCTGTTTTGCTGTCGTATTGTTTGCCAACTTCATATAATCTCATTTTTACAATTGGCCATAGATTTCCGATCGGATTCAGATTGTGACTTGATGCTGGTCATCCCATTCACTTCTCTCCTGTAAACATTTTATGCTCAAAGAATTCATGGACAACCTTAAATACATAGGAAGAAACAATGTCATGCATAAATATACTCTTCACATTGAAACTGCGAAGCTGTGACTTGTACCCTTAAAAAAAATCTTGTCCATGAAGAAATCGCAATAATTAGCACTGTTCAGTCTAACAGGTTCCAATTTGCCCTTCTTGACGCCCCCAATTCGAACCTGTTCAAAGAACAGAGCGTTGATCAAAAGTGGTTGTTTTGCGTTAATAGTCACCAGATTCTGTGCCCTGGTATTTTCGTGTTCGTTTCTTTTACTGAAGCAGATTATGTGAATTTTCAGTACTGCCAGGCGCAAGGATTGAACTCACAAATGCTATAGAACTAGATATGTTTTAATCGATCCAGTAAATAAGCCATGTGTCTATTGGGAAAGAAAAAAAAATAAGGCCGGCGGATACAACAGCTGAAATAATTGTAAGTATAACAATCAAGATGAGAATGCCAGTCCGAATGTCAAAAATATTCGGACCAGCAATAATAATTCCTCATCCTCATTATGTATTTATTTTTTAATAATATGAATGCAATAGCTTTTTTATTGTTGCTACTGCTTAAACAGGTAAGACGGGTGTGAAGAATAGTTTAGCGAAATGCTCATTCTCACACTTTCTAGTCTGGTATCCATAGTGACATGCTAGAGACAAGACATTTTATGTCGATGGTACCAGAAACCAGAAGCAGTGTGTTCTTGACTTTTCCAAGAGGGTTAGTGTTTAGTGAACATAAACTGTTTTAACAGAAATAAACTCAGTTTATCGATTTAATTTTTGCATTGACAACTGTTAGGTTATTTTTCAATTCCTGAGGTTTTTTAATGCCATATTCCTTCAGGACATAGGTCATCATAGATCTCAATAGATCCCTTTTCTTATTATCTGTGAATTGCCCTGATATTTGGAGAAAAATAGCGGAGTACTCTTCTAGAGACCAGAGTAGTCGTTTGGCTAGACCGGCTGCCACGAGAGAGCCCAGTCTATCCTACTATTTAACCTATAGCTGGGAGAATGAGATATAACTTTATATCTTTCCTGGGGGCATTAATAAGAAAGACGGAATATGAAGTCGGCACGCTGATCTCAGTTGATGACTCGATAATCGTTATACCACAAATACGCACCCCCAGAGTTTTTGAGTTTGTTTTTTGTGTAGGGTCGGGGTCATATTTTCTTTTAAATTTTTTAAAGCTTTACGTCCTTACAGGACATGGCTGCCATACTTTTGAACGGCCTCTTTTTCATTATTATGCGTGACCTGCCATAATTTAAATGGAAAGACATTTGACTGTTTTCAACCATTGCCTTCTCCACAGTTTTTTTTTTTTTAATTAAGAGTTGTCTTTCTTGCCTTCCAGCTCAGAGCACAAGGCTAGAGTATCTTGTCAGCAATAATTGCTTGCGTCGAGAGCTCTTCAATTTACAGATGAGCTGGCTCAATATAACTGTAAATTCTTTGCTAACAGTTTATTTTCTCGCACTTGTCGCTTGTGGAACTCGCTTCCGGCTCCATGCTTTCGAGCCAACAAGAATTTAAATGCAATGCCAATCACTATCTACTGTCCTCCTGATTACTCTTCCCGCTCATTATTAATGTTTCTGTTCCTAATTCTTCCACACCCCCTAAGGCATTGTGTCTTAGTAACTCTACTGTCTTGCATGGGTTATACTGATTAAAAAAAAAATAACATTAACTTAGAGGGAGGAGAAATGGTTCATGCCTTTCCCAAGGACATAATTTGAACTCGATTCCATTTCAGGTGCCAATAACCATTACACTACCTTCATACCCCCCTGTACTTACCATACGATAAATAGCAGACAAATGCTACAAACATTCCACATTAGACGAGCGGACATCAAACTGGTTTTACGTTTAGTTTTTATGGCTCAAAACGCAATAAATAACTCGTGGGGTATACTTTAAAAATCTGCAAATCACATTAACGGCTGGAGAATTATCGTCTTTCTAATTTCTTGATCAACTGGCCAGGCTTCTCGTTTCTCACTGTTTTATGAGCCAGTGTTATAAGCTTTAAATTTCTTTTCTTACTTTAATTACAGGGACCCCCACTGTTTATCTCTATGACACCGTTTTAATATATTCCTTAAGATAGAGTGTTTCTTTTTTAATCGCAGAAGATATAGCTGTTAACTATACTTAGTTGGGTTTGGTTAAAGAACATGAGTGTGGAGTATCTATTGAGAAACACATTTACTTAACTACCTATATCCTGTTAGTCTGGCTTACTAGCTACCTTTCTACGGCTAGACACCTTTTTTAAAAAAAAATGTAATAGTTTTTGGGATGGCCAAATATGCATTTCAAAAGCTAAGCAGAAAATTAAAAGACAGAAAAATTTCATTAAAAACAAAGAAAAGTGTACTGAAATGTTATTTGATAATCCCTCCTCCTGTATCTGTCTATATTTCTGAGATGAGGTATTATGTACGCTATTTACATTATTCGGACTATTGCCCTTATCTTTTTTGCCATATTTAGCACAACGTTTTGGCCGTTGTACGCTCCGGCCTTCTTTATTTCGCACGCTGGAGTAGACTATTCTAGTTCCACGTTTCATGTCTAATGGATGTCAGTTATCAGTTATCTCTAGAACAGTCTACCTCAGCGAGCGAAATAAAGAGTTCAGTTCGACATTCCAACCACCTGAAGAAGGCCGGAGCGTACAACGGCCGCAACATTGTGATAAATATGGCAAAAAAGATGAGGACAATAGTCCGAATAATCCCTCCTCCTGTATGGCAGCGAATGGGGACAATCTCATCAAAGATGAAGAAGAGACTTGAAACACCATAAATGTGTATCTAGATAAGGTTGCTGAGGATTCCATGGACGGAACATCTGAGCAACGACGAGGTTTTGGAGAAAATGGAATCAAAAAGGAAAATTATACTTAACATCAGGAAGAGGCAGTTGAAGTTTCTGGGGCATATAGTGAGGAAGAAGGGCTTGGAAAATCTGATACTCACAGGACAGAGAGAGAGAAAGAGGAACAGAGAAATATGCGCGTAACACGCTTGATGGGCTTGAGCAAATGGATGTCAGAACAGTGTTCGAAAGAAATAACAAAAAGACAAAACTTATAAAAAAAAATACAAAGGACAGGAAGATGTGGAGGGCCATGATCGCCACACCCTGAAGGAACGCGGCTCATAAGAGAAAAAAAATTTTGCTTACGGCTATAACACTTTGAAACACCTGTTCTCGTACGATCACCGAAGAAAAGCAATGTCAAGCATGGTCAGTACCTTGATGGGTGACTTGGGAATACCAGGTGCTGTAAGCTTGGATGTGCGGGTGGTGTAATGGATAACGGCTGGAAATTGCAAATCGGTGAACCTAGTTCTAATTCTAGTCGTATTCGTTATATTCACTTACGTGCAAATACCCTTGGGAAAGGTATGAAGCCACCTCTTCTCTCCCCAGCTATGGATTAATTAGTAGGATTTGCATCAGTAAATCAGTATTATCTCCAAAAAATTCTTACAATCTAAAAATATAGATTCTGGCTTTAAATAACCTGCAAAAGATTGATAAGCTGTTAAAAATCAATCAATCTTTCAGGGCGCCGGCGTTCATTACGCTCCACAATTTTTGTCTCGTTATTATCCCTATACCGTGTTCTGCTGTCCATTTTTCCAAACTTGTTTAGTAGTTTACTCGCCGTTTTCTTCTATCCCATTTGACTTCAGTATGTCCAGTAAGTGTCAAATTCTCCAAGCATTCTTTCATCCTTACGAGTACCAGACATTTCAAATGTCACCTTAAGATTCCATGTCTCCGTTTCGTCCTCATTTTTCTTAAAACATCCATCTTTCTCACATACTAACGGGAGACTTCCGGGATATCTGACTTGTTCTGTTTTTTAACATTTTCATTTTAGTTTTTAGAGTTACTTGTTTACAAAATCAATATAAAATTTTAAAAGAATGATTCAACTTTCACAATATTCATTACATTTTTCTGCTATAAATGAATAATACTACAGATGTTCAAATAATATTTTCCCGGTTCGTTATTACCTATGTATATGGCACAAATATGGTATCGGACCCTATCCCACTGAGAAATCTGGCCTTAAAGTGAATAAGACATCATGTCCTCGTGTTTAGTACAGATGGTCTCAAAAGAACACTGAAATAGGAGACATCTAAAAACAAAATTGGGGAGAGCACAGCACCCCCGAAACACGCAACTAGATTGGAAATATTTGCTCGCCGTTCTCTCGGTGATGGAGGGAAAAAACTGCCGGTACGTCACATCAAGTAATTTGGGAAGCACTGTCTTAGGAGACGCCAAATAAATGAGACCTAGAAATCCAAAAATATATTGAAAGTCCAAAGGATGCTTTCCAGGGAGACTAAACAAAGTATTAAGGCATAAGACATTTTTGTAAGAAACAAAGATAAAAGTACTGCTACATATTACACTGGTTAACAACAAAAAACAAAAAAAAAAACTGAAATGGTCTCGAGGCAGCAAACATCTTTTTCGCTAATTTGAGGGGCGCTGAATTTTATAATCAGCTTACTTTTTCTTGATTAGTTACCGGTTTTGTTGTACAGAAATGACTCATTTTGGAAAAAAAAACTTTTTTTAAAAATTTATTTTCCGTATATATGATATTTACCGATGGCAATATTCCTCAAAATAAAATCATAAAAACATCTCAATTCGTATTTAAACCAATAAATATTTTTGCAATATCAAACCTTAAGTCTTTTAAAATAACACGATTGAATATACCAAGGCCAACAAGTATTTTCATCAAATCATTTAATAAACTAACAGCAGAAATAAATCCTTCATGAACATAAAAATTGTTAAAAAATTTTCTCTCTCGTGATTGTCTGTCATTTTCAATGTGATTTGAACCACTTTTTATACTCCAGCAGTATCATGTACAATGGAATAGATGCCTTCAATTGGCATGTCTTTAGTTGGAGTTCCTTTCTAATTGCGAAAACAAAATATTCTCAATGTGATTGGTTTCCTTCCATCGTGAAGCGATAAAAGTGATGGGATAAATTTATGAATATCAAACAGAAAATTTTAGGGTTTCATTTTTTGATGTCACTTTAATTATCAGGTTTACTAAAGTGTATTACTGATAAATCTTATCAGTTAATTTGAATTTTGGCGATAAATTGGAAAAATTCGGTCTTTCTATTTTAAAAATTTTGACTCAGAAACATTTTTTCTTATAAAAATTTTTTTATTTCAAGTGGCTGACATAAATTGCTCGGCCTACCTGAAAATTGATTAGTTTCTACAACCTTTATTAACTGAATTTTGCGATCAGCCAAAATCATAAATTGATCTTTTTTCCAAAAATGAGCAATTTCAATACAGCAAAAATGGTAGCTAACCATGAAAAACTAAGGTCATTTTCAGAATTAACCCCATCAAATTAGCTAAAAAATATGTCTTGTTTCTTGGCAACAAAAATCGTGTTGACCAATATTATTTTTCTTGTATGGCAATTTATAATGGATAATTTTCACAGAGAACGATGCTAAGAATACGACGAACAGAAAATTTAAGCAACGAGGAAATATTAAGTAAAATACGAATGAAAAGGACACGTATATTTACAATCTGAACCAGTGCGTACTCCCACCGAGCCCCCTGGGTGAGGAGGGAAAGTCTGATTGGGGGTCCCGGGCAGTGCTTTTTGACCCTCACTATCTTATTAATATTTGCTTTTTTCTATCTACATTTATATAGGTTACAAATTAAACCAAGCACAACTGACGAGTAAAGGATGAAAAATTTTGACGCCATTCTAAGTTCTTTTTTTGTTCTGTCTAAATCCCTGAATTTGTTTTGATCATGGTAAGACTCGAAAAATCACGATATAAAATTCACAATTTCTTATTTATAATTTTGAATGGGCTAAAAGTATTCCACTTTTTAACAAGAGAAATCAGAAGTTGAGATTAAAAAATACTACATTGTTGATTTATTTAAAATCTGTAATGACAGGTCTTTAGATATATTGTATTTATTTTCAATTTTTCTAATTGAATTCTTCACTTATATTGCCCATGATCCATTATTGTACATAATTAGGTTGCGATAAAATTTGTATTCCATATGAATACTACTGTGTTGTGTGTGAGTGACTTATATATGCTTATGCCATTTAAGCACAAGCACATGAATGCACACACACACATTCCAACTGAGTTTGAAATAAAGCACTGGAATAATACATTCTTCTCTCTCACTCAGTTGAGACAATACCTTCCGAGAGCTGAGCAACAAAATCATAAAGTTGGAAAAAAAAATAATACCCTAAAACATTAGATACTTAGAAGATTTTACTGAACTTTCCAGGCTTACAGCAATGATCAAAGGAGTTAAGAAAAGTAAAGCCTGGTCAGTAACTAGATGGGTTGCCGCTTGGGAATACCAGGTGTTTTATGCTTAGATGTCCAGGTGGTGTAATAAATAATGGTTCAGAATTGTGAGCCATAAAGCCGGGTTCCAATTCATGTTGGGTTTGTTATATTTCCTCGCATGCAAATGCAAGTAAATATAACATGTCTCTAAGTTCTATTTAGATACATTGTATTTTATTTTCAATTTTTCTAGTTGAGTTGTTCACCTATATTGCATATGATTCATTATTGTACATAATTAGGTTACAATAAAATTTGTATTTTTTATGAATAATACTTTATGAAAATTAAGATGGAGTAGAGTGGAGACACCTTATCGCAGATTCGCGGGGCGTATCATAATTTCGGGGTGGGGAGCAGAGACCCTTGCACCGGTATACTTACAATTATAAAGAGAATTTTGGGAAAAATAATAATTAGAGCAGAAAGAATTTACTAATCACATGTCCATGAATTTAAGATAGGTGGAGTAGAAACAGAGAATAACCTACCGAACAAGTTCATTGTAAATGCATGGCAGTGTAGTGACTGAAAGGGTTGTTATGGCGTGGCGGCGGTGGGGGGGCATGGTCGCTTAGCGTTACGGAAAACAGGAAGCAGTGGGTTTGGGGGACATGTGGGACAGGCCTAGAAAGGAAGAAGAAGGAAAAAAGACCCGGATAAGCGACCGCAGCCGCCCTTTGGTTGATTACCGAGTATAAAGACATTAAGAAGTCGAGCAACACTTAGTGGAAGAAGAATAAAATACATTACTGAGTAGTTCAGTGCAGATAAATTAGCCAACTTGATATGTTAACAGAAAGAACAAAACCAAAACCCTCAAAGAAAAAAAAATAACACATAATGGCGACCTTTAAACGGTACAATCAAAAAGGCTCACTCTACAGGCAGTGGGAGGGTGAAGAAGTACAAAATAAAGCAGGCAACATCGATCGCTGGACACTAAATATTATCGATGAAATCTGACTCTTCTTTCTCTTTCTTCCTCTCTCTCTCTCAATCTATTTATCTATCTACCCATCCATACACATATATATATATATATATATATATATATATATATATATATATATATATATATATATATATATATGTGTGTGTGTGTGTGTGTGTGTGTGTGTACTTGACTCTCCCCTCGAATTCCATAAATGAGGTCAAGCAGATCAGATTCCTAGGAAACCGACAGCCCGACTGCAGCACATGAGATTTGATTATAGTGGTGAAGGTTTCGTGCAGGGCCATCCCCACTTTTTGAAGGGCCGAATACAGAGACCTGGTGCACTACGTGCCACAAGGTCCCCAAACTTCAGAGTTGCCCTTCTCCTAGACCAGTTGCCATCCAAGGCTATAGAACCCAGTCTGTCCTGCTATTTACCCATAGCTGGAGGGAGAAGAAGAGTATTTACACCTTTCCCAAGGGTATTAGAACGTAAGTGAATGTAATGTAATCGGAGAGCCGAGTTCGAATATATATATATATATATATATATATATATATATATGTCTTTTTTCTTTTTAAACGCTTGTGGAATTTGCTATTTTCACCCCCTCCTTTTGAATTTTAATTGTTTGTAATTAAAATTGATCTCTTTTTTAATCACGTTCCAACTTTCTCTCGTCATTTATTATATTTAGTGTGTCTTCGTTTGTTTTACAACTTGCCAACGTATACCTTTGAAAAGGTGTTGGTCGAAAGGTATATAACGTATAGCATAACGCCCGTTTTGTATATATATATATATATATATATATATATATATATATATATATGTTGCGATGGATAAACTGGCGTCTAAATTACGCAAAGATGAAAATAACACTGACATTTCATTTTAACAGATATACTTACCAAAATTACACAAAAATATTTTGAAATACTG